AAGGATTTTGGACAAGTCACTTGCTGGTGCAGTCAGTCAGTGCCCCATCTTCTCCAAGTGCTTCTGGGACACCTTAGACTTTCCCTGTCATCACTAACCTAAGCGATGTGTTATCTGAATCTGTGGTCACTTCCATACTGCCTCTTATGATATGTCATGTGCATCTCCATCATGACATTTATATCTTAAAACCCTATGATGACAAGACTTGCATTTCTTTCTTTCTAGGCTCAATCCTTGCTTAGGGCAGAAATTTTTCTTTGGCAGAGAAAAAACAGACCTAAAGACCTAAAGGCCAAAAAGATCTAAAAAAATGAAAACATTTCATTCGTGGGCAAATGAAATTTTCACCTCTTGCCCTTTCAGTTCTATGGATTTTATCATCTTCCTTGATGCACCTTAGACAACTATTGGTGCAGGTGGCAAGTCCCGTGTAACCATGCATGGACAAGCAGTTCTAATCAAGAAGTTTTTATTTTCTTCTGTGATGGTAAAAGATCACCAATGATTTGATTATCAAGTGAGGGATAGCTTTTCTTTTTATTTTGCATTCTCGATGCAGCTTCAAAAAGCCCTCAAATAACTGAAATGTTATTCTTCCCTTCCAGGAATAGGTTCTGCAGCATGAACTTTGAGGCAGAGATTCTGACAACGCCACGTGATGATTCAGGTATTGGGGAGGAAAAAAAAAGTAAAAATGCCCACCCGCCAAATATGTGTTAATTTTGTTAGAATTAGAGGCTGATTAAAAAAAAAAAAAGAAAGAAAGAAAAGAAAAGAAACTGGATGTTACCTTGACTCCAATCCAGCTGATTTCAGGTTTATTTTAGGATATATTTTCAATGTGTTGAGGAGAGATTTTGAAATATATACCATATCCACAGAAGTGGACACTGGACAGGCTGCTGTGAGGACTCTGAGGGTTGAAAGAGCTGGCTGGAGCATCTCCATTCACATTACCTGCAGCACAGTTGCTTGTGAGATGTGGTTTTTGGAAAGACCTTAGGCATCCATTTAAAGATAGTACAATCCTGCCTGAAATATAATTTTCTTTTTGAGGCCTAAAACAAGGTTCTCTTATTAGATGCAACAGGTTAAATGTAGATGTTAGATAGGAGACTTCTAATAAGATAAAACAGAGGACGTCCCTCCAAGTACTGCCCTTTAGGCACAAGCCTGCTCCTTGCAGTGCCTGCCTGATGTTGGATCAGCTCTGTTCTCCTGCGAGAGGAGCATGCCAGACCATTCCAGGATCCTTTGGCACCCGTTTCGACTCCGTCTGCCATGAAATGGCCTGTCTGCTCATCCGCAGAGGTGCAGGGAGCCCACAGCTGAGCCAGGACTGCAGCTGGAGGCAGGAGACTCAGCACAGGGCTTTTTCCTGATGGAGAGTCCTCGTTCAGCTGAACTGCTTCAGTTTCCTCTTGCCCTTTCTGCAACCCAAATGCTCTCAGTGTGGCAGCTTCAGGAAATTCAGGGCTGTTTTCCACAGTGAGATATGTAGAACATATGGAGTTAGCTATGTACCTAGACAAATGCGTTGGTGTCAAAGTGCACCTAAGAGCAGTTTTCCAACGGTGAGGTATGAAGAGGCTGTGGGGTGCTTATAGGATGCATGAGGCTCTGGGGACATGCATCCTCTTGGGGATGGTTTCCTATAAGGGACTGGATTCTGCATTTGCCTTGTAGCTGCTAATACACGATTCTTGTCTCTCAAGAGCTGCACGTGGTGCCTCCCATGAGAAGTCTCACATCTGAGGAGTACGTGGAGGCCTTCAAGATATTTCTGGAGCACTCTACGGAGCACCAGTGCATGGAGGCGTTCAACGAGCAGGCAATGCCCCACATCATGGCTGGGTAAGGAGCGTCGCCACAAAATGGGAAATGACGGTGAGATGCTGAGTGGGAAGCTCAGCAAACAGGTGAAGGGATTTCTGGGGGATGAAGAAACTTTTAATGCACTTCCCTTAAGGGGACTTAAGGGAACATCCCTTAAGGGAATGTTAGATTTAATGCCTATGGAAGACATTTCAATTAATACACTGTGCCACTCCTCAGCTTTTATTAGGAAAAGGCTCAAGACCTCATTTTCATGTCCATCTCCTTTCATTAGCTGATTTTCCAAGGGTTAAAGCTTTTTCAAAAGCTTTTTTCAAAAGAAATCTCTCTCTTGTGCTCTCTTCCTGCTTTGGGGACTTCCTCACACATCAATATCGCATCTCTAATTCTCTTCCAGTGACTAATTCTTCATTTCCCCAGTTCCCTAAAGCCTCCTTATTTCTATTCTAAGTTGATTTGCATTGCTTAAGTATCAAATGATAAACCACGTTAGGGAAGTAGAGATGTAACACACTATGCCTGGATGACTCCAGATAGTTTTAAAACCCTCTAAATTCAAAACTCTTTCAAGTCTGAGCATTTTTTCATGTCACTACATTTCCCACAGCGAGAAAAAAAAAAAAACGTAGGTAGGAACTTCTGGTTTCTGATCCATGTCAGATCCTTGACCAGCTCCCGGCCTACAGGGTTTATGGCCCTCTTCCCTCCTGTGGAATCCCTGCTGTTGTGCAGCAAGAGTAACGTGAGGCCCGTGCACTACGGGAAGAGCAAACGTGGCCCAGCCTTGTTTGCAGAAAGCCCCCTGGCACGGGAAGGGCAGTGCTGTATTTGGATGTCTACTGTACCTGGAAATAGGACTCTGCTAGTGTCGGGCCTGGCCTCGGCACACGCCCTTACATGTCATGCTCAGATCCCTAGCCAATGCACGTGGCAAGTCTCAGTTAAATATCTAGATATAGATGACATTCTGGAGAGTAGAATTAAAGCGTATGAAAGCGTGCAGTTAAGTAATGAGTTGTGTCTACTTGTAATTTCAGGCTGGGCAATGGGAAATCCACCCTGAACGTCCTGGGAGTTGGCAGTGGCACAGGTAAGAGCGTGGTGGCACCGAGGTGGATCCAGCTGCTGCAGAAAGCACAGCCAAGGTGCTGAAAGACAAAATTCCTGCTTTTCAAAGCAGAGTTCCTGAGCTGGGACAGGGATGATGCTCCCTTCCCTCCTGCACCCATTTCCCCAGCATGGACCGGTCCTCTCCCAGCAAGGTGAATGTGATGGTCTTAGCTTAGGCTGTGTCTCCTGATGACTCTCTCTTGAGTCTATGTGCCTCAGAGCAGGCTCCTGCTCCAGGGGAGAAAAGAGCTGCTGCAAACCTCAGCACAAAAACTTAGGGACATCAAAGAAGACATTTGTTCCACCCAAACATATCCCACCCAGATATCCCACCCATCCCATCTCTCTTGTTTTCATTGCCATCCTAGAGGCCAAGATTGGGCTATGCTTTAGAGCTCCGAGCAAGCAAACCTGGGGACACAGCTGTCCCTTGCACAGGCCGGGGCAGCTTTTGCAAGATGTGCTGCTTTTTTAAAAACTTTTTTTTTTTTCTTTTTCTTTTTCCCAGTGATAAATAGGGCTTAATTGCAAATGGTATTTCCCCCCAGAGAGAAACAATCGCTTGGAAGCAATGTTTAAAAACCTGCTTTAAATGCTATATATTTTTTGTAAATGGTAAAACATCTGACTTCTTTTTTCCTAGGACATTGGGAGGGAGAAAATAAAAAACAGAGGAAAGAAGCAGCAGTTAGATTTGTCAGAAAAGGCTTTTGCTTTTAAAAACATGCAGCTGAAGTGTGAGCATTAACACTTTTAAGTGAAAGTAATATGGTTTTCACTTGTTTCCTTGCTTTCCCGAGTAAAAGGAAAGTAGCATTAAATTGTTCTCCCCAGCTGGGGCTATCCTGGAGCATATGAGAAAGATGGAAGGAAAAGAAAAATCTTTTGGTTCTCAAATATACACCATTTGCACTAGGTAGTATAAACCAGAAGTAATATAAGTAAAGTAAGTAATATAAAATGGAAACTCAGTCTGATTCAAAATAGAACTTTTGATGTGGTCCTCATTTTTGTGAGTTGTGAGTTTTCCATGCTGTTGCTTATCTCCTCCTAATTCTTAGTCTTATTAGGAAATACATTCTCCAAGGAAGACTATTAGGGTCTTAGATGCCACCATACAAGTCCTAAGGTAAAAAGGGCATCACTTCTGCTCTGAGGATCTCCTAATACCAGGTGTGCTACCATGTGAGTCCTCCTAGCACCATTCCAATCCTCTTTTAAGTAACGGATTTCTGTTTATTGAACAGGTGAGCAGGACTTGAAGATGATCAGGATCCTGCAGGCTGAACACCCAGGCGTCTTCATTAACACAGAGATCATAGAGCCCAACCCACAGCACGTGGCAGCATACAAAGGTGAGGTACCCTGGTGTGTGTGTGCCTGGGGTGCAGTGAGGACTGCTGATGTGGATGAAGAGCTTTTCCTGTTTGTTTGTTTGTCAAAAAAAAATCTGTTTTTCTTCTGCTTCTGACCAGAGTTGGTTAATCAAGCTCCCGATCTCCAGAAGGTCTCTTTTGTCTGGCACCAGCTCACTTCCTCCGAGTATGAACAACAGGTGACAGAGAAGAGCACACAGAAAAAGTTTGACTTCATCCATATGATTCAGGTAATGCAGGTGATTCGTATGATTCAGGTGATGCTTTAGCAACGCAAATATTTTATTAATATTAGCAACATGGCAGCATTAGCTTCAAAGACTCCCTCTGCTATGTGCTCCGAGCTGTGGAGACCAGAGCCACACACAGCTCTCCAGCGAGTGGTCATTGCTCTGGCAGTTGTGCAAGCACCAAACCCATCAGGGCTGAGGCTGGTAGGGGCAAATGTGGGTGCTGTTCATGGCTGTTTGGCTCCTTGGTCAGGAACAGAGATTGTCTGGTGACACCAGGCAATCCAAGGTGATGCAGAGGCCAACAACTATCCTTTGCCACTGCAAAAAGAAAAGAAATAAAGAAAAGAACATTTTGGTTTAATTGGACTAGATGGGATGGCACTAAAGGAAAAGTTAGTGAAATTTGTACCTGTTGTGGGGTCATAAATTATGTGTCTCTATATAGATACTGTCTTTTCCAGGCAGCAGAAAGATACTGCTGTCAGTTCAACGCCATCTTCCTGTTGTTGGTTATCAGTTTGAAACAGAACACAGTTTCTTAGTCTTTCTTTTTTCTTCTCCAAGTCCTTTGGTTTCTCCATACAGCTTAAAGCATACATTAATCTCCTTGCTTGGGAATGAGGAAAGCATGTTAAAGCAGCACAGATAGGAAGATAAGGAATCTAAGTCTTTGAAGACCTGGTGCTCTGCAGAGGTAGAATAATGGCTGTATGTAACCGTCACTTCTAGATGCTGTACCGTGTTGAAGACATTCCTAACACGATCAAGTTTTTCCACAGCTGCCTAGACCATCATGGTAAACTCCTGATCATAATTTTGTCAGGTGAGAGGGGCTTTTGACTTTTTTCTTTTTTTCTTTTTTTTTTTTTAAGGATTTTGAAATATGAAAACCACCGATATTTGTCTTGGGATTTAGGTAGCACTTTTTCCTGCAGTAATTGAATAAAGCAAACACTGGATTTTGCTGGGAACATGCAATCTTTTGCTTAATCTCCTGGACATCAATGTCTGATGGGACTACTTATGCATAACCTATGTGTTCTTGTCTCCCTGGATGTGTTATGGATGGATGTGTTGCCACTTTTAGCTCACAGTGGCCTCCTGTTGTGAAATTAATAGCTAGAGAGAAAGGTGATTATTAACGAGCGAGGCTTAATCCTGCCCTTTTTGAAGACAACAAGGATGTTGTCACTGACTTCAGTGGCAGCAGGAGGCAGTGCCACAGCGAGCAGCAGGACTCCAGGACAACCGAGTGGTTCTCACTCCAGTAGCTGTTACGCTGCAGTGTCTATAGGGCAACGCTCACACCGCCAGGCTGCTTGTCTTGGCACGTGCCCTGCCACAAAAACGAGTCAGGACGTGGTCACGATGACATGGCCAAAGACAAGCCAAGTGCTGTGAGAGCCCTCCCCTTGTGACAATCACCTCTAAATAGCTAGGAGAAGCGTGGGAGGAGCGTTGAGGGAGACCCCCAGGTTTACTTCTGTCTGGTCAGGGATGTTTATAAGTAGATCCAAGACAGAGAAAAGCAGTTCTCCTGCTCCTGGCAAGGTCTGTGCCAGCGGCGCGGGAGCATTTCAGACCAATGTAGCATTTGTATTAGCTGGAGTTCCCCTGCCTTGGTTTTGCAAAACTAACCTTTCCTCCTGCCACATCTGATAGAGAGTAGTGGATGGGCCACCCTATGGAAGAAGTACAGCCACTGCTTGCCTTTAACTGACAGCGGCCACTACGTCACATCCAGTGACATCGAGGATATTTTGAAGAGAATCGGGGTTGAATACCAAGTTTACGAGTTCCCGTCTGACTGGGACATCACGGAGTGCTTTATCGAGGGGGATCCAGTTGGAGGCCACATGATAGATTTCCTAACAGGGACGAAAAACTTCCTGGGCACTGCACCCGTGGACCTCAAGCAGCGTCTCCAAGAGGCTCTCTGCCAGCCCGAATGCAGCAGCAGGAAGGATGGGAGGATCATCCTCAACAACAACCTCAGTATGATCGTAGTTGAATCCTAAGGTCTGGGCCAGCTGCAGAAGACAAACTGGGGTGGGCGTAGGGGCAGAGCTCTGCTGTAGTAGGGGGTAGCGTAGAAAGGAGGCAACCGACAACATTTGAGAGGAGGTAGGTGGGAAAGAGAGGTGCAGCTCACAGCCTCCTGCTCGCAGGTTGGATGGAACCAGACTCAATACTGTGGATGAGCTCTTTGTCCCCCTGGTTGACGGGGCCAAGATTTCACCCCAGGTATTTAGTCCAGCCTTAGGAGATCTGCAAGGTCTGGGAGCCTGCAACATGACTGTGTGTCATGGGCAGTCACTCCGTGCCCTCCAGGGAAGTCCTGGTCCACCAGGCTGCAGTCCAGGGAGCAATGCAGCTTCTCAGAAGGAAGAAACCACAGGGAGATATTTTTTTAACAGTATATGTACCATCGATGGTTTTGACACTGGGATTTCCAGTTCTCTCTCTACACATGGCATTTTCTATTGCCAAAGCCATGTTTTTATGGCTATTTGCTGCACAGACCTGCAGTTGTTTTGCAGCTGGCCCAAGGGGAAAGGGGGATAAAAAGGCCTGAGAGGGGGCTGCAGACCCCACTTCTGTCTGCAGCATTGCTGGACTCTTTCAGGCAGGTATTAATTTTGTTACTACTGTTTTCTCTCCATGTAAAATAAAAGTAATTTGAAATCAAGAAGTTCCCCTCTCATTCTGTAATTGTGGGCTTAAAGATAGCAAAAGAGCAAAGAAGTTATTTAGTTAAAAATAGAGAAATGCAAAATACCCTTTTATGGAAATGGTAGGAATTTATTTTAAGTGCAAAAGACAAGGTCGGGCCCTAAGAAGAACTAGAATTAACTGAAAATTTAATACAAATCTCTACAGTTCTCTAACGAGAACTGATATCCTAAAGAAACCGCTCAGTGCTACAAAGGTTTTCACCTGCTCGTCTAGGAAGGCCATTGTGGTCAACACGAAGACCAAAGATTTTGGACTGAATATTTTAATAACTGCACATCAGGCTTGCTAACTTATGAGCAAGCTGAGCAGCCTTAACCTTTAAAACAACCTGCATTACCAGGCAGTGCCTGTCGCAGGGCGCCACGGGGGTGGTTTCTCTCTCTGCTTCTTGCTCACGACTTGCTCGGGCCACGTGGCGCTTGGCTGAGGCTCCTCTTTACACGAGGGCAAATACGTGACAGGTCCAGGCCAGGCGCCCCGCGCCGTGTCCGCCTGGGCCGTGCAGCTCCGCGGCTCTTCACCAGGGAAAAACAGGGTGCTGCAGTTTGTGTTGTGCCTCTGAGGCCATCCGTCTGTCTGTCCACCCATGCATCCTCTCCTGCTTGAGCGGACCAGGGCCTCATGTGCCCTGAAACCTGAAATTTACCCCAGCATCAAGAACCCAGCACAGTTTCTTCCAAAATATCCCAGGCCACCGTTCCTCGAAGCCCTGGTGGTGCTGCCAAAGCCACCTGGCTCACGTCCATCCGTGTGTCTGCATGAAGTCACTGCCAGAGGGTGCAGCGCTGCCAGCCGAAAAGGTGACGACCTCCTTCCGAGCACCCCAGAGCCTTGCACAATCTTTTCTTTGTTTTGATCTGTATTATTTTTTATTCTATATCCTTGCTCCCAGCCTGGGGAAGGGAATATAAGTCTGGACTGGAGGAAGGTCTCTTGTTGCTGCTCTCATGGAGGGCTCTTCCGTGAATAATTGCCATGTTTTATTTCACTATATTAGTGATCTCTTGCTCCATTCTTCCAGCTCTCGTAGTCGTATATTTAAAGCATAATCAAAATATATCAGATATCAGGCTTAGTTTTCAAGCTCCAAAGACCCTCAGAATAACGTCCACCTAATAACGCCTGTTAGACATTGGGAAAGTCCGAATTCTGCAGACTCTAAGCCAACTAAAACAGCAGGTAGGTTTTCACCCTTCCCTCCTCCCAGACCTTGCAGTTTCCTGGCTGGAGAGCTGTGCTTCCAGGAAGCAGCGATTTGGCAGAACCGATTTGCACCGTGGCAAATCAATGCACCGTGCTCAAAGAAGAGGGAGCACTTCAAAGCAGACAAGCTGGTGAGTGACACTAGACAACCCGGTTAGTGACAACCAGGGAAGATGAAAGAGTAAGCCCCATTAAAAAAAGAAACAAACAAACAAGAAAGAACAAAACCCCTAATGTTTAATGGTTTAAGTGTAATTTTCAGTCTGATTCTGGGAAAGAAGGTCATTTAAGAGAAATTGCACGTGCGCACCTGGGACAAACGATACTCAAAGTGCCACAGTGCTTATTATGTTTATTTATATATTTGTTCTTGCATTAGCAGGTCACTTATCAGCTCTCAGACGTGCTTTTCCAAACACACAGTCGTTCCCGTCAGGCCAGATGGAGTTTGGGCAGCCACAAGGGAGCTGCCATGGCCAGCAGATTCTCTCTGCATTCCAAGACACTTGGGAGGCTGCACGGAAAAGCGGAAAGCTGGAGGAAGGCATCCACAACACACCCCTCCTGTTCTTTCCTATATTATAGGAGGGAAGCATAGTTTGCTTTTTAGTGGATCTATATTTGATCTTTGGGGCTAAATGTCTTGCTGCTGCAATGGATATTAAGTCTTCCCTGCCCGGAGAGGAAGGTGGAGTAGGAACTGGAAAATGTCGTGACTTATTTCTGAATAATCCCATGAAATAACAAGATCAGTAAAATCCTGGAGTGTGTACTGAAAAGATTAAAACTAACCTCAATCAGGCAGCAAAACATAAAAATACGGACCCTGAGCACTTTATTTTCTTTGGTCTTTGCCTGCAGAAATCTGTCCAGGCTTGTATGGAGAATGTAGAAAAGCTTTGGATAAGAAGGGCATCAAATAAATGCACAGATCTAAGGGGAAGTCTCCAATGGTCATGAGCCATATAGGATCTATATTAAGTAGCGTTCTTTAAGATACTAAGCTTTGCCCTGCCCTAAGGTTTGGGATTTGTAGTGCCAGTTCTTGAGTAAGACAGTGCTGCAAAACCATCTCTGTCACTCACCCTGGGGAATAGATGTGAGGCGGGAGCTAGATGTGGCAGAGTGGTTCCCACTGGCTTATGCTTGGGAAAGTGCAGAGGTTTTCCCAGGACAACTGAGGTCATGCTTATGCCCCAAACCCAGCCTTCCAGCTTCTCGGAAACAAGATGTTTTTAGAATTGTTTCCTTGGAAAGATTAAGCTGAGCGTCCTTGCCAGGTGCAGGACTGATCTTTCCCAGAAATCCTTGTGGTGGGAAGCAAGGGGGTAAGAGCGAGCGTGACGTGCGGTGTCTTTTGATGGAGCTGGTGCTGATGGCCCAAGGCATGAGCCTTGCCTGTGCGTTTTGCACGCAGCAGCGTCAGAGGGAAGGCCAGTTGTATCACCGGGTGTTGGTGGTGGGTCACATTAGACTTCCTGGGGCTTGTATGGACCTTCATAGGAGGAATGATCACCACTGCAATAATCCTTGCAACAGGCCCTATCATAGGAGAAAAACAAAGCAAAACAAAAACCTTGCAGCTCCTTTTTCAGTCCCTGGCCTTCATTAATTCCTTGTTTGAGCAGCAACAAAAGCAACAAAGAAACCTTCCAAGAAAAGTGTTTGAAGAGTACAAGTTAGAGCGGGAGGTTTTGGTGGGGAAGGGGGTTTGCAGAACGTCTGACAGAGCCGGGTCCCATCGGAGCGTTCCTCCGCTCTCCGAGCAGGAGCAGCCGAGAGCAGAGCAGCAGCTTCGCTGCCACTAGTTCCCCATAGTCTGATGACACCGTGGCTTCGATCTGCTGGTGAGTTTGGAGACAACAACGCACGTGTTCTGTTGCATGTCATAATGACGATTCCTCTGGTGAATGTAGAAGCAGGATAAAGAAATCCTCATAGCAGCCTCTCAGTCCCCACTGCTTTGTTAACATTTTTTTTTAGCATCCTATTAATCGCCCGGCACATATCTGTCAACAGCTGATACTATGGATTAAAGCAGATTACAGCTCATTGCTCCAGCGGCTGTGTTTGCTTTACGTCTCAACCCAATGGGCATTTCTCCACCGGCTTCGGTATGACAAGACTGAGCCCCTTGTTTTTATGAGCACTTAGTAATGCTTTCATAACTCAAAGGGGTTTTGTTTTATAAGGTAGCTAAGCGATCCTCCAGAGGGTAGATGTTTTGATTTTATTATTTCTGGAAGAAATGCTAATATACTTTATAGTGCTGAACAAACAGTCTAAAAGCACTTGATTTGCAGATGTTTTCATACAGATAAATGTTGACTTTGGTTTGTCAGGCTTTGACAGGGCACAACATTTGTTATTTGGGGACAGCAGCAGGTATTTGGGGAAACTTGGGCAGAAATTCTACAGATTTAACACATTAGCATATAGACCTTCTTCACTATTTGTTATTGACTATGGATTATTCTCCAGTTTTAAATATCCGCTCTCCAGTTTGGAAGGAAAAAAAAAAAATCCCTGTGATTCATATGATCTAACCCCAAACCGAAATAATTACCATTGGGAAGGAAACAACTGAACTGTGAATAACCTTCAGTGTAAAAAATTATTCACCCAAACTTACCCCAGAGTGATGGGACTTGTTTTCATATGTGCTTAAAAATAGCAATGGAGAAAATACGAATTTCAATCTGGATGTCCTTCTTAAGCTTGTGTTTAACTCTCAAGCTTTTCCCTCCCAGGTCACCTCTCCAGCAGTGCCTCCTTCCTCCCCATGGTGTTATCCAAAGGCAGCCGGAGCTGAGGAAAAACCTTCCCGTGGGCTTGGTGGACAGGGTGAGAATGCACCAGGAATCCCTGCCAAAGGCCACGTGGCATTTTTGTCTCTGAGACCTCTGGTGACACAACCTGTGGTTGTGCTGGGGTTTTGCTGGGAGTGCGTCACCCCATTAGAAGTGCCTTAAAACAGTGGGCACTGCCAGAAGACGCCTTCACTGCATTTTGTGTGAATTATTCCTGAGCTTGTGCTTAATGTTTATTAATATCCCTGATGCTTTTGAAATGTTAACTA